AATGAACCAATAAAGAAATGAGCAAGTGAACTAAACAGAACTTTCTCAAAAGAAGAAATTCAAATGGCCAAAAAACACATGAAAAAATGCTCACCATACCTAGCAATAAAGGAAATGCAAATTAAAACCACACTAAGATTCCACCTCACCCCTGTTAGAATAGCCATCATTAGCAACACCAACAACAACAGGTGTTGGCGAGGATGTGGGGGAAAAAGCAACCCTCTTACACTGTTGGTGGGAATGTAAACTAGTACAACCACTCTGGAAAAAAATTGGGAGGCTACTTAAAAAGCTAAACATTGATCTACCATTTGATCCAGCAATACCACTCTTGGGGATATACCCAAAAGACTGTGACACAGGTTACTCCAGAGGCACCTGCACACCCATGTTTATTGCAGCAATATTCACAATAGCCAAGTTATGGAAACAGCGAAGATGCCCCACTACTGACGAATGGATTAAGAAAATGTGGTATCTATACACAATGGAATTTTATGCAGCCATGAAGAAGAACGAAATGTTATCATTCGCTGGTAAATGGATGGAATTGGAGAACATCATTCTGAGTGAGGTTAGCCTGGCCCAAAAGACCAAAAATCATATGTTCTCCCTCATATGTGGACATTAGATCAAGGGCAAACACAACAAGGGGATTGGACTTTGAGCACATGATAAAAGCGAGAGCACACAAGGGAGGGGTGAGGATAGGTGAGACACCTAAAAAACTAGCTAGCATTTGTTGCCCTTAATGCAGAGAAACTAAAGCGGATACCTTAAAAGAAACAGAGGCCAATAGGAAAAGGGGACCAGGAACTAGAGAAAAGGTGAGATCAAAAAGAATTAACCTAGAAGGTAACACACACGCACAGGAAATCAATGTGAGTCAACTCCCTGTATAGCTATCCTTATCTCAACCAGCAAAAACCCTTGTTCCTTCCTATTATTGCTTATACTCTCTCTTCAACAAAATTAGAGATAAGGGCAAAATAGTTTCTGCTGGGTATTGAGGGGGTGGGGGAGAGGGAGTGGGCGGAGTGGGTGGTAAGGGAGGGGGTGGGGGCAGGGGGGAGAAATGACCCAAGCCTTGTATGCACATATGAATAATAAAAGGAAAAAAAAAAGAAAGCAGACCTGTCGCTCGATCCTGTATCTTCCTGTCCAGTTTCTGCCCCTCTCCTTCTCCTAGTCCCCCCTAAACGTCGCCCCGCTTCTTCGTGTTCCATTCATTCCTCCACCCACTGCTATCTGGCTTCAGACGCAAGTACTCCCCTAAAATGCTTCCTCTGAACTTGTGATGAGTTGATTGCTTGAGCCAAATGCTGCTTTTAGTTCTCTTGCCATTGGATCTCTGGCACTGCTGCCTTTTGGGTTTGACCTTAGCATTCTTCCTACATCCCTGAGCATTCATTCACTCCTTGGGAATCTCCTTTCAGAAGGCTCCCTGCACCCCAGAAATACTGGTGTTTTCTTTCATGTTCCCTAGTGTCCCTCGGGCAGCCTCATCCTCTCTCTAATCATTTGGAAGTTCTGGCCTCTCTTCTGAGCCTCTGATGCCACCATCCATCATTCATTAAGTATTTTGGACCCACTATGACGACACCACTGGCACCGGGGCTACCGTCATAAAACAGCCATTCATGGATCTGGCTTCACACAGCATCCACACTAGCAGGCGATGAGGAAAGGCCTGGAAGACTGGCTTTGGGGCCGCTGCACATTTATAGCACTACACACGCTTAGTATTGCAAAGTGATGACGTTATACATGAGGTTCCAGACTCTTACACAGGTCCCAGGAACACAATCTGTGGCCCCTTGATTCAGAAAAAGATTAAAATCCACTGGCCCAGGGCTGGGTTGTTGATGTGACAGTGGAGATAATGTCACTCTGAAGAATAATCGGGGCTTTGCACACAGGTTTGACACTCTCGGTCCACGCAGAGGCAAGAGCTGTGTCCATCTGTCACAAACTCTCCCTCCACAGGTGAACCGCAGTAGAGAGGGCTGTGGACACCCAGTGGGGACAGGAGGGGACGTTCTGCAGTCTGGCCATTCTTATCCTATGGCTTTGAGTGACACTTTGCCAAATTCCCCAACCCCACAATAACCCCAAATACTGCAGGGTCCTGCACCTCCCAGGTGACAAGAGTGCACCGAGGCCGTCTTGGGAATGATGATAATCTCCAGATTCTAGGGGCCCGGGAGGTCAAGTGCACTCTGGAAACATGTTTCTGAGTCCTCACAGTTTTGAAGAAGAGAAATTTGTTTTGCCAACATTTAAAAGTCAGGAGATTTCCCATTTCAGATTCTCTTAGAAGTCTGAACACCTGCCCGTGCTGGCTGTGTCCTACCACATCCTGTAGAACTGGTGACAGGTATGTCCTTGAGTGAGACATGTTTTCAACACCCCCAACTCCAACTCTTACGCTTGGCCCTTGCCCTCTTCAATGTCACCTGTCCACACTACACCTGAAACTCTAGTATAACAAAGAAGAGCAGAGGACAAAGAGAAAAGGGTGGAAAATAGCCCGTTACCAGAGAAAAGAAAAAGATACAGGAAGAACCAGAGCAAGAACTAAACCAGAAAGAATATAAATTCCTTCAGCGTCAAACCTCTTCTGATGTGTTACCTACCAGAAAATCAATCCAATACCCAAAGATTCACTTCATCTTATGCTATTATAGAAAGTTCTCCTCATTTCATCCTTTGCAGAATAAAACTATAACTATTAAAATTTCAGCGTCATGGGGAGAAGGAGAAAATACCATGTCTTGTAATGATAAAGAAACCACATTCTATCTGCTTAGTATCACAAGGACCATAAAATTCCTTCATATGGTTAAATATCCAGACCAACTATTAACCAATTAAGCGCTTCCTAAGTGAAGAAGTGTTAAAAGGAGATCGCTGGTATTTGATTCTATTTTGTACATCAGAGATGCTGATAATATTAATGACTCATGACCATGACTCCATTTTCTTGAGTCTTTTTAAAGTGCTGTATTAGTCATCTGTGAATGTCACCGTAATTCGTGAAATTCCAATCCATGTCCCCCCCCAAACTTACATGCTTGGAGACAGCCAGTGTGACAGATGTTGGCTGGGCATCCCAGAGCACTGTGCTGTAACCAGTCTTTCCACGTGTCGAGAAAGACACCAGGGAGGGAACTGCATTTGGCCAAAATATGAAGGTTAATGTCTTCGAGTTCATCATTTCAATTTCATCTCTTTAAGGCTTCAGGTACTCGGCAGCCATTAAAGTTTAAATATCCCTGAAGGTTACACCTTGGCTCTCAGGTAATGCTGTACTGAACCCCATCACTTCTTGCAGACAGCCAAGAGGATGTCCCCTATGGCTTTGTGTGAATGTTGGACGCCAGCTGGGAAAGGACCAAAGACCACCTTCCTTCCGAGTCACAATCTGCCCAGATTTGATGGCTTCACTCTCAGGCAATTCTTCAGCTTTTGGTTTGAGCAGGAAAAGAAAACAACTTCTCAAAATTTTACTCAAATTTGTAGCCTGAGAAAGAACGTTGTGGCTAACCTCAGACCTATTCTGTGAGTCTTTCTTGCTTTCCTGTTTGACACTGGCGAGCACCCCTCAAATGAGGCCAAGGGAAGACGCCCTCTCCCACCTCTTCTGACTCAGGACAGAACCAAGGAGATCTGAAGAGCCTGTTCAGCCTTAGGTAGCCATCCCCCATCCACATCCTAACTCTAGAACCTGCAAATGTTTCATAATATGGGGAAAGACCTTTGCAGATGTGGTTATGCTAAGGTATTGAGATAGGAAAATTATTCCAGATTAGTCATATGGACCCCAAATAGAATCACAAGGGCCTTTATGAGAGGAGGCAAGAATGCAAAGGAGGTCCAGGCATGGTGGTTGACACCTGTAATCCAGAGCTCAGGAGGCAGAGGCAGGAGGATCATGAGTTTGAGACCAGCCTGAGATATACAGCAAAACATCTTCCAACAACAACAAAGCCACCAGTGGGAGGAAGCAGGAGGGAAAGACATGAAGTGAGGAGCCCAGCGCTGAGGCCAGAGACCACCTCCAGAAAGGGGAGCAGCAGGAAAGGGCTCCCCGACACCGTGATTTTAGCTACAGGAGACACTTTTCAGACCTGTCTGACCTCCAGGACTGTCTTTGTGGGGATTTGTTACAGCAGCAAACAGGAAACTAATTCGCTATCAACGTCAACCTACTTCATCCAATGTCCTTTGAACCTGAGCTTGCCAACTGGTTTGCCAGGACTTATAGGTCACCTTATCCCAAGGGGCAGCTGGGTACAGCCACGTGGAGGTCCCCCCAAAGGCCTTCTCATCACGCAGGATGTCACACAATTATTGTCCTTATCTATGTAATCCTGTATCACTAAAAAAGGTGTGACACTCTGTCATTAGACCAGGTTTCAGATAGGACACAGAGCTGTCTGAGGAGATAAATTCCAGCACCTCAGTGTGTGCACGGATGCCTGACAGTGCCTAACCCACTTTTGTCCTGTACATAAATACTTATGGTAAGGTTTCATATATAAATAAGCTACAACAAGAAAGCTGAATGTGTAAGTCATAACCGTAACAAATAATAGAATACAGCAACTGTAACACATAGTGTAATAAAAGTTACTTAAAGCTTATAAATTATTTATCTGGGGAATTTTCCATTTAACATTTTCAGACCTGCTGACAGAGGACACTAAAACCACAGAAAGGAAAGCTGTGTATGGGGTGGGGTTGGGGAGGACTGCTGTCACCCTAGGGAACACTGTGAGGAAGAATGACAAGGGTGAAGGTTACTACCACCTTCAGCCTTCCAGTGTGGCTGGGCAAAGCTGTACTTTTGTGACCCCAAGAGGCCACCATTCCTTTGGGGGCTGTGTGCCTGCCATTGTACCAGCCCAGGGCAGTCTCCCCCAGCCCACTCCATGGCTCTTCTTGACCCTGATGCCTGGGGACTCCCTGACCACTGGATCTCGCGTGCCACAGACCTGATGGGGAGAGAGGGGTCTCCGGCGTCCCACCAGTCTTTCGGGGGGCTGATGTACATGCACCACAGCTCCCAGCTGTACCCGTGGGCCGAGTTCTCGTAGCGCTGCACCTCGAAGTTGTCCTGCTTGATGTTGTCGATGGAGGGGAGGATCACTCGCTTCCGGTTTTCCTGGATGCGGGATAGAACTGGCTCGGCCCTGCAACACAGAGAAGAGAAGCTAAAAGCTCTGCCTGAGACTCACTTCACCGGGGACAGACCTGAGAACACCAGAGACAAGAGGAATGACTTAACAGAAAGGCCGGGCTTTGGGCAGCTAGGTGAAAATGGAAACTGAGGCAGCAGAAGCCAAATGCCTCACCCAGGTTGGAGCGGGTGGCTACAAGGGTTGGCTTTGAAGTCTGCAGAGACTCACACCTTCATCAGTGTTGGAGCCACTATGGTGAGGCCTGCTTTGCCATGAGAAGCCTGGAAGGACAACTCAGAAGATGGGGGTCCCCTCCTCCGAATTTTTTTTTTCAGTACTGTAGTTTGAACTCAGGGCCTATACCTTAAGCCACTCCACCAGTCCTTTTTTTGTGAAGGATATTTTCAAGATAGGGTCTCTCAAACTATTTGCCTGGGTTGGCTTTGAACCTGAATCTTCCTGATTGCTGCCTCCTGAGTAGCTGGGATTACAGGTGTGAGCCACTGGTGCCCAGCAAGCCCTCTATTTTATAGCAAGTGTTCCAGCACCACATCACACTACAGTTTCATACAGCATCTTAAGTTCCCCTTGGGGCACTGTCTGCCACCTCTTGTCTCTTCTTCTGCTTGGGACTGAATTCCCTTTCCCAAAACAGGTCCCTTATGGCCTGGATGTCCTGGTTTTAATAGGCGTTTCACGAGCTGCTTTGTGTGAGAGACTATTTTCATTGTTTTAATTGATTTCTTAAAAGGGATCTAATTGAATTGGTTAGCACGGAAGGCCTGGAACTAATTAAATGCAAAGCAGGCAGAATCTAGCCTCCCAGCCAGCGTCCCTGCTCAGGGATGCAGGGAGCCTCAGGCGGGGAGATGGCTCTAGGTTCATGGTATAGGGTTTAGCAGGTGGCCAGGTACCTCCATCTCCATGCGTGCGTCTGTAAGTCAGACACAGGGAAGGATCAGCCCCCACACTGGAGAGGGAAAAGATGCCTCTGCTAAACCAAGGCATTAATCTCCCAGCTTAGACCAGAGCACAGGCTTTGGAAGTGAGTCAAGTGCAAATCCCATTCCTCTGTATTATTTGGAAGAATAATGAGAAGGCTTGCTCTACAAGCAATCTCTTTTCATTTGCAGCTATTGAATTACCTGTTGGTTCATCTCATCTTTCTATTTAAAATGAGCTATAAAATATATTCTGGGCCATTTCCTGTCTTCTACACTTCTGCACATGCTGTAGAGGCTGGAGCCAAATGGGGCTAACTCTCCATGGCTTCTAGACGCACTTCAGGCTTCATTCTATCAAATCCTCCTCTGAGAAGGCCCTTGGCCACTGGTAGAAAGCCTAGCCACCATGGAGGCTTGATCACATGTCACTGTCCCAAGCCCCAGTAGGAAGGATTTTCAACCAGTTTCTCTGCGTTAATTTTGTGTGTGTGTGTGAGAGGTACTGGGGTTTGAACTCAGGGTCTACACCTTGAGCCACTCCATCATTCCTTTTTTGTGATGGGTTTTTTTTGAGATAGGGTCTCACAGACTATTTGCCAGGGCTGGCTTTGAACCTCAATCCTCCAAATCTCTGCCTCTTGAGTAGCTGGGATTACAGGTGTGAGCTGCCAGAGCTGGCTTAGTCCTCACTAATCTTTGAGCTGTTATATGTCAAGCACTTTCTAAGTGCTAGCCACCATGCTGCATGTTTTACACATGTTAGGTAATGCAACCCCACAGCAATCCTAGGAGGGGGATACTATGATCAGCATTGTACAAATGAAGAAACTGAGGCACAGGGAGGTTAACATGCTCGTACCAAGCCATACAGCCACCAGCTGGTGGCAGAACCAGGGTTCTAACCTAGAAAGTCTGGTTTCAGACCTAACCTGGACGCTCCCCCTCCTTGTTGAGTGGGCCATGTCTCTCCCACGCTGGTTGGGTGCTGTGCCTATAGAAGCCTGCAGGGCAACCCGTCACAGTATAGTGAGAGTTACTGAGCTGTACCTTGGTTCAAGTAATCCTTCTGCAGCTGAGGGCGTTGGTCTCACTCTAGGATGCTTCCCAGTTGCTTGCTTCCCTCCCTGGGGATGTCTTGTCTATTACTGCTATTGTCACATGACCTTCTGTGCTTCCCTGAGGAACATACTTCTCCCCTTTCCTGCCTCCAACCTCCAATTAACGTAAGGCTTGGATCTGTGAATCAGCTTGCTAATGGGATGTGAGCACGAGTGACAAGTCACAGCTAAGCTGTGGCAAGACTCAGCCATTATTCTTTTCCCTGAACTGCACAATGGAAGGTCTCAGATGGCAACATTCCTTGGATTCCAGAACAGAGGACAAGCAGAGCCACAGACAGACAGACAGCTAACAGGCCAAGAAAGAAATCAGTAGTGCCATGGGCACCAAGACTGGAGTTGATTACTCCCAACACAAACCAGTAAAAGCTGAGCCCCAGAAGGACTCTATTAAATCAGAACAGGACATGTGACAATTGGGTAGAAGTGCAGAAAATGGGCCTGTGTGGCTAAGACTGCAATCGCAGAGCCCAGACAGCATTCAATGATGGATGGATTAGACTAGATAGGCTCTAATTAGACTGGAGACTTGAGGGCACACTTTGAAGGCCAGCTGGGTGACCGATTGTCCTGATTTGCCCAGGATGAACCCTCAAAATCAGGTACATCTTGACAGCTGGCTACCCAACCCCTCAGCCTAGAACAGCACCAGGAAATCCCAACCAAAGGAGTGAATCAGGCATCAGTACAGGCAGACGATGTAGGAGGGCTGAGCTGAGACAGTAGGGGTCAGGCCGAGAGGGACAGGGAGGCCTGGGAACCAGTGTGGAAGTAACTGGCTGAACAGAAGGCTACTGGGTAACATGGGGGGAGGTAAGAATCCAGTGGAAGGTGTATGGATGGTGCCGGGAAAGCAACAAGAAGGTGATGATATGGAGAAGAGACAGGAAATGTCAAGTTAGAGTCCACAATGCAACGTCCAAGTATATCTCTTCAAAAGACCTCAGATCCAGGGTCCTCGAGCGAGAGGAGGTGGTGAGCGGAGGGCTGGTGGGCCCCACGCCCTGAGCTCCTGCCTTCAGGGTCAGGGCACAGCCTGGCAGGGGTTGCATTTCTAACAAATTCTTGACACCCATGATGCTACTAACCAGGGGACCTGACTTTGACAACGACTGCAAGAGATAAACAACTCAAGCTCAGGGGAAAGGTTGGGACTGAAGACATACAGCTGCAAGTCACCAGGAGTAATGGCAGCAAAAAACAAATAAGGGAACTTGTGACCAAGATGGTGACAGATCCCAGTATGCATAGGAAGGTTTTTGTGTGCTCACTTGCATAACCATTCTCCTTTTATCCACTCACTTGAAGGACTCTAAAGTTTCAAAGGAATAAGAACAGGCAGCTTAGTGAGTGATCAGTGATGGGATTTGGTTCTTCAAATCAGGGTCTGTGAATGACTTCAAGATGGTGTCACGCAGCCAAACTGGCGGGCAGTTCACACCTGTAATCTAGCTACTTGGGAAGCTGAGATGGGGAAGATTGAGGTTTGAGGCCAGCCCAAGCAAACAGTTCTGGAGACCCCATTTCCAAAATAATCAAGGCAAAATGGACTGGAGGTGTGGCTCAAACAGTAGAGCACCTGCTTTGCAAGCACAAAGCCCAGTGCTGAGTTCAAACCCCAATCCCACTTAAAAAAATGGTGTCATTCAGTGTTAATAAACATTATTTGTGAAATACACAACTCTGCTTCTTCTTAAAATGTTGATGTCATAGAAGAAAAAGTAGAATAATGGTTACTTAGGCTGGGAGGGACAGTGGTGAGGGACAACAGAGGAAGTTAGTTAGCAAGTACAAAAGTACAGTTTGGTGGGAGGATTAAATTATTGTGTTATTTAGCACAATAGTGTGACTACAATAACTTACTGTGCATTTCAAAATAGCTACAAAAGATTTTGAATGTTCTTAACAAAAAATTATGATAAACATTTGAGGTGCCAGATATGCTAATTACTCTGATTTGACAAAATCACATTATATATATGGAAATATCAAACTGTACCCTACAAGCACATATAATTATTATGTGTACACACATATACATGTATACATATGAGGCAGGCTAGAAATAGGAAAAGTTTGGGACTCTTAGAAAATATGACTTAGTTTTGTATTTCAGGTTGAACATTCCTGTCTTTCTCTGAGCCTTCTTTTCAATTGCCAATGTGTGCAGGTTACTACACCCTAGCTCAGGGACAACTCAGTCCAGTCCATCCTCACCTGGCCCTGGTATCACCATGGCCCTCCCCACTCATGATCATGGGTTGGGAATCACCAGGTTCTTCCCTTCCCATAGGTTAGCGTAAGTTTTTAAAGCACCTGGAAAAGAGAAGCACTCTCTGCTTCCGCCCCCACCTGGTCTCCCCATGTCACTTGCAATTCCCTTTCCTGACTTGTAATAAACTCCATTTACGCCGGGCACCAGTGGTCACGCCTCTAATCCTAGCTACTCAGGAGACAGAGACTGGGAGGATCGCAGCAGCTCAAGGCCAATCCTGGACAAAGTTTGCGAGACCCTATCTTGAAAATATCCAACATAAAAAAGGGCTGGTAGAGGGGCTCAAGGTGAAGGCCCTGAGTTCAAGCCCCAGTATCACCAAAACAAAAAACAAACAAAAAAAACCCCTCCAATTACCCACATGTCCTGGCATGGATTCTTCCATGTGGGACACAAAGAATTTGGAAATCTGATCACAGACTGCACCACTGCTGTTAACAAACACGCACACACACGGAAATATCACACAGTAACCTACAAATACACAATTATTACATATCAATGAAAAAACAGTCTTCTTACACTAAGCAACCCAGACAAAGTTTATCAAGCCTCCAGCTTAATCTAACGTTGGCTAGTTAGCAAGCGTCATTTGACTGCTTAAAAGCAGTCAACTGCAAAACCCTATTCCGATTTTAACAAGACCCTTCTGCTCCCTGAGAGCTCAACAACCTTCCTCATTATTCTTTCCACCTGGAAAAACATCAGGGCCACATCTGCAGAGAATTAATCTCTTCTTCCTCCAAATGGTATTACAGATAATTCCATAAATTCTGGCAAACTCCGCCTGACTGGGTAGAATTAGAAATAGATACCCTGCCTCTGCAGTCAGCCGTCTTTCCCCAGAACAGTGAGCAGGCCAGGCAGGAAAGGAAGACTAGAAACATGACCGTCTCACTCTCACTGAGCATCATCTTGACTCTTTTGTTTGTTTCTTTGTTTATTTTATCTTATTTTATTTATATGTGCATACAATGTTTGGGTCATTTCTCCCCCCTTCTCCCCACCTCCTCTCTTTCCCCCCTACTCCCTCGCTACCAGGCAGAGACTATTTTGCCCTATCTCTAATTTTGTTGAAGAGAGAGTATAAGCAATAATAGGAAGGAACAAGGGTTTTTGCTGGTTGAGATAAGGATAGCTATACAGGGAGTTGACTCGCATTGCTTTCCTGTATATATGTGTTACATTCTAAATTAATTCTTCTTGAGCTCACCTTTTCTCTAGTTCCTGGTCCCCTTCTCCCATTGGCCTCTGTCAATTTAAAGTATCTGCATTAGTTTCTCTGTGTTGAGGGCAACAAATGCTAGCTAGTTTTTTAGGTGTCTTACCTATCCTCATCCCTCCCTTGTGTGCTCTTGCTTTTATCATGTGCTCAAAGTCCAATCTCCTTGTTGTGTTTGCCCTTGATCTAATGTCCGCATATGAGGGAGAACATACGATTTTTGGTCTTTTGGACCAGGCTAACCTCACTCAGAATGATGTTCTCCAATTCCATCCATTTACCAGCAAATGATAACATTTCGTTCTTCTTCATGGCTGCATAAAATTCCATTGTGGATAGATACCACATTTTCTTAATCCATTCGTCAGTGGTGGGGCATCTTGGCTGTTTCCATAACTTGGCTATTGTGAATAGTGCCGCAATAAACATGGGTGTGCAGGTGCCTCTGGAGTAACCTGTGTCACACACAGTCTTTTGGGTTTATCCCCAAGAGTGGTATTGCTGGATCAAATGGTAGATCAATGTTTAGCTTTTTAAGTAGCCTCCAAATTTTTTTCCAGAGTGGTTGTACTAGTCTACATTCCCACCAACAGTGTAAGAGGGTTCCTTTTTCCCCGCATCCTCGCCAACACCTGTTGTTGGTGGTGTTGCTGATGATGGCTATTCTAACAGGGGTGAGGTGGAATCTTGGTGTGGTTTTGATTTGCATTTCCTTTATGGCTAGAGATGGTGAGCATTTTTCGCGTGTGTTTTGGCCATTTGAATTTCTTCTTTTGAGATTTGAGACAGGGTCTCATTATGCAGCCCAGGATGTGCTTGAACTCCAGATCCTCTTCCTTCAGCCTCCCGGGTGCTGAGATCAGAGATGTGGCTACCTTTCCTGGTTTATCTTGAGTTCTGTCTGATTAATGCACCACATTCTCCAGGTGCAGTGGCATGCCTGTAATCCAAGCTAATCAGGAGGCAGAGACAGGAAGATCAAGTTCTGAGACGAGGCCAGCCTTAGCAAAAACTCAAGACACTGTCTGAAAACTAAACCAAAGCAAAAAGAGCTGGAGGTGTGGCTCGAGTGGCAGGGCACTTGCTTAGCATGTGCAAGGCCCTGAGTTCAAACCCTAATATGCCAAATGATGCTGATGACGGCAGTAGTGGTGATGGTGACGATGACAACGATAATGACAACAATGGTGGACAAATTTATTTCCTGCTTCCTTCCCAGTTTTATTCCAGACAACAGCCTCACCTTCTTGAACCAACTCTCTCCATTCTCCAGTGGTCCCAGAGGAAAACCAAGCGCCCCAGATTCAGCTCTTCCCCACCACCTCGCTGATTGTGAGTGCCACACTTTCAGCCCGTGACCTACCAGCCAGCAGTGAATTCCACGTGGGCATCGAAGAAGCCGGTGACCTGGCCGGTGGCCGCCTTCCAGCCCTCGATGCGAGCTCGGATCAGGCCCTCTCGCTTCTGATTTCGCACGACCTTCACCAGCCCCGGGTAGCGTTTGTGGACGTACTCCTCCAAGGGGGCCTTCAGCTCTTCTACAAGGGACAAAACGCAACAAGTCCATGAACATGTCACTTCAGCTTTGCACCTGACCACTAGCACATCTCTTCAGAAAGTTCTGTGATGGCACAAAATCTTGAAAGTTAGCAACTTTCAAGAAAGTTAGCAGAAAAGGCAATCCAGCCAGTCTGGGACTCAGAATGCATCTCTAACCTGTCAACCAGGATACCCGTGAGTGACGGTGTACACATGTATACAGCAGGACAGAAAACGGGCCTGGCTTTTAAATTCCCATGTAGCAGGCAGTTGTCCTTTGAGATGTCTTTGCTTTGTGGCCCCTCCTACTTTCTAAGTTAGTATTCCTGCCTTCCTACGACCCCCTGGAGCCTATTTATCAACTTCTAAATGGGCTTTTCCATCAGCACATGGACTGCGTCCTACACAATGTGTCCAAGGTGGTCCAGACTCATGGTCATGACCAGATGCAACATTCATAGTGTTTGTGGTGGTCTTAGAATTCCCAGGTGCTGGTGGCTCACGCCTGTAATCCTAACTACTCAGGAGGATCGAGGTTTGAAGCCAGTCAGGCAAATAGTTTGTGAGACCCTATCTAGAAAAAATCCATCACAAAAAAAAGGGTTGGTGGAGTGGCTCAAGGTGTAGGCCCTGAGTTCAAACCCCAGTTCAGCCAAAAAAAAAGGTTTTACAGTAGAAGAAAAGTCACCTTGGTGGCAGGTACAGCGCTATTGAGGACAGAACATTGTCCTGCTATAGTCAGGGGACGAAGTGGCTTATTCTTACTATCTAATGTCATTTTTAGCCACCCTAGGAGCTTACTAGATTAAGTCTGTTACCTAGTGAGACTAATTCCATTTTGCAAAGCAAGACACAGTGTTGGGGAGGCTGAGGTGTTCTGGGGTCGTACATCCAGTAAGGGAAGAGCTGAACCACAAGCCATGTGTCAGGGACCCCGTGAACATGACTGTTGGCAGCTGTAGGGAGGAAGGGGAAGCGCCATAGAGAAGAGATTCTTCGGCAGAGTCAAGGCAAGGGTGTGCCTGGGACACGCTCCTTCCCAGGCACTTAATACATCCAGAGGCGGCCTGGGTGATTCAGATGCAAGACGGTCCACAGGTAATAGTTTAAGAAATGTTGCTATCTCTGCCTACCATGGTTTGGGTCTTACATGTCTCTGAAAAGCTAGTGTGTTGAACGCTTGGTTCCCAGTGTTAAGAGGCAGGCCTTTGGGAGGTGACTAGGTCTTGAGGGCTCTAACCTCACGATTAACCCATCGGCCTCGTGGACTAACCACTGATGAATTTGTACATAACAGGCCTGAGAGGGGGTGGAATCTCTGGGAGGGGGGGCCTAGTGGGAAGAAGTAGGTCACTGGGGGCATAACCTTTGAAGAGCATATTTTGTTCCTGATCCCTTCTTCCACCCACTGTCTGCTTCCTGGCTGCCATGATATAAGCAACCTGCTTTGTCACGTGCTCCTGCCACCATGATATTCTGCCTTTCCATGGGCCCAAAAGCCACCAGTCCAACCATGAACTGAAACCGTGATTCAAAATAAACCCTTTTTCCTTTTAAGTTGTTTTCCTTGGCTACTCTGTCACAGTGATGGAAAGCTGACTATCACACCAGCTGTGCTGTAGAGAAAGCTAAGAAGGCTCTCATGCTGGATATTACACTTAAAGCCACGCATGCAGCATAACTAGACCTCTTTGTGTCATAGCTGCTGTTGTCCTTGAACTGTACAGCCATGTGGTCCCAGGAAGAAATACAGAAAACGGGGGTCCAGTTGAATGAGGATAAGAGAGTTTGAAGGCATATAGAACCAGGAAAGTTGCTGTTAGTCAAATGCATGGAGGACAAAGGAATGAGTGGTCTAAGGAATGACTGTTCACCACCAAACTCCTCTATGGAAGTCCTAACTCCTGGCTCCGCACAAGGGCCTTTAAAGGGATGACAGTGTTAAATGAGGCTGTGTCTTAATACAACATCACTGGTATCCTTACAAGAAGGAGAAACCTGACACATGAACACATACCAGGCACATGTGTGCACAGAGGGACAGACACAGAAAGAGGGAGTGGGAAGGCGGCCATCTGAGAGCCAAGGAGAAAGACCACAGAGGGAACCACCTGTGCCACCCCTCGATCTTGAACTTCCAGTCTCCAGAAGTGTGAGAAAATCAATTTCTTTTCTTTTTTTTTTGGGGGGATGGTGGTGGTGGTTTTTGAACTCAGCACCTTCACCTTCAGCCACCCCATCAGCACTTTTCTGTGATGGGTTTTTTCAAGATAGGGTCTCACAAACTATTTTCTTGGGGTTGGCTTAAAACCACAAGGCTCCTGATCTCTGCCTCCTGAGTAGCTGGGATTTCAGGCGTGTATCACTAGTGCCCAGCAAGAAAATCAATTTCTGTTGTTAAGCCAGCCAGTCTGTGGTATTTTGTTATGGCAGCCCGAGTGACAACCGGAGAGAGGTTTGTAGTGAGGTGGCCATCACCCTTAAAGAGAAAAATGGACCCTGGAGGTGGAGGGCAGAACCACCAAGATCCATGAGATCCACCTTGTGACTGGTGACAAGGCTAGAGTCGGCTTGCCTTGGGCTCAGACCCTAGAGTTGCCATGTTTTACCCAAGTGACCCTGTGCAAGTCAGCCAATCATGTTGTGCCTCCATGTCCTCACCTACAGAAGGGAGAGGATAACAATAGTAGCAGTCTCACGGGGTTGGTGTCATTCAAGGAGCTAAAACAGATAGAACGCCAAACATCTGCCCTGGCATAGCACAACTATTCAGCATTGAGCAGCTAGCATGAAGAATTATTTTCCTTCTTTCCCTCCATACAGGTTTGAGGAGCCTGGACAGAGTTCAAAGCAGCCTGGAGAGCCCGAGGACTCAACAGGTATGTCAAAAATAGGCTTAGAAGCCTGAATTGTGGTTCTCCAACGGAATGGTGGTTCTTAAACTGGAGGACACATTTGCATCAACTAGAGGTATACAAAGAGATGGCTGAATCCCTCCCCACTTGTCACCAAAACTGAGCAGATATGTTTCTAACGAGACCTTGGAGGTCCAATGCATACTTTGAGGACCACTGAGCTCAAAACACACAGGTCAGCCTTAGCACATGCCAGGCACACAGCCTGCTTTCAATGAAGGTCCTGGTTGGCATTTTGCCAGTATTGCTTTACCACCCTTCCTGACCTGCTGCAGGGCCACTGGAGAGTCAGACAGTAGACAGCCTTGCTGCTCCACTCACTGTGGCAGAAGGCAAACCATGCATATGGGACAGGAGTGACCCAAAGGATTTCAGCTTCTAAAAACCATCTACTGACTTAATGTTGGTAAGTTTCTTGGCGCACGAAAGCTAGCGAGAAAGTTGGTGCTACAGCTTACACGTGGTGTGTCTCCACCTCAATGTGGCAGAATCAGCGGGTGAGGCCTTTGGGAGGCATTTAGATCACAGGGGCCTCAGGAATGGATTGATGCCACTCTTCAGAGCCTGGGTTTGGTCTCATAGGACTGGGTTGAGGGACATGTTGTTTCAAGTTCAACTAAAGCAACAGCCTAAGAGTTTTATGGGGACACTAGGGAGAGGCCACAATGCACCTAGCAGCATTTAAGAACAAGGGACACTGACTGTCAGGGCTTCTTCTACCACCCCTGCAGTGTGACTCTGGACTTTGTAAGGCACAAGATTATGCCTTTGTATAATTAATAAAACAATTCACACACAATACTTCCTCAAGACACTTGCAATATAGTTCAGGAAATGAGACATGTCCCCAAATTACAATATGCAGTATCACAAGGGAAATGGAACAAATGGACAAAGAAAAATGGCCTCCAAGGAAATGTGCTGCAGATGACAACCTGGGCTGGGAGTGCTCACAGAGTGCTGTGCAAGCTAGACCGAAGGTCTAGGTACATAAGCACAAAGCAAAACACATGAGCACAGAACTGGAGCCGGGCACGGTGGCTCACACTTGTAATTCCAGCTCCTCAAGAGGCAGAGATCAGGAGGATCAGTTCCAGGCCAGCCTGGGCAGACAGTCCATGAGACCTCATCTCAACAAATACAAAGCTGGGCGTGATGGTGCGCACCTGTTATCCCAGCTATGCAGGAGGCAGAAACAGGAAGATCGCAGTCCAGGCTGCCCTGGGAGTAAACATAAGACACTATCTCAAAAATAACACAAGCAAAACAGGGCTGGGGGAGTGGCTCAAGCGCTAGAGCACCTGCCTAGCAAGGAGTAGGCCCTGAATTCAAGCCCCAGTGATGCAAAAACCCAGAATTGGATCTACTTAGGTCCAATCTGGTGACACTGGTGACAAAATCACCAGTGTCATTTTCAAGTGACAAAACAGGCAATTGGGAAGATGCCCTTCATTCAAACCAGAAGAGAAGAGGAAGAACAAGTTGGCGAGTTTCCATGCGGACAGGGTGAGGCGCAGCAGAGGTAGAGAGGGGAAGCAAGGGAGGGCTCTGGAGAAGAAAAGGTGTCAGGGACAGAGTTGTGACAGATGCTGCCATAGAGGGGTGATGGATCCAGGAGATGGAAAGGAGATTCGAGCCACACTTTGGGAGACACAGAAGAGCCAAACATCTTCCCAGGGTACAAACAGCATCACAGGAGCGTGATCAGGTAGAGGGCGGGGCTTCGAGGAGGAGGACAAATGCATTGAGTTTGCAAAACAGTGAGAAAAAGGATTCCCCTTCTGGATGCTTGAGTCTTATGACCTGAAGAAGGGGAGAACCAGGGGTGGGATTAGGGATGCAAACCCCCAAATTTATCTTAACAGGTGCCCAAGTTAGCCAAGTGAAACAAGGTGCAGGCTTACTAGGGACCAAACAAACCTGTGTAGAAGCATCACACCCGTCACCTAAGATCATTCCCGCCCTTCAAGAGGAGCCCATCCTTGCACCTAAGAAAAAAAGGCGCTGTGGCTCAGCAGTACAGCACGTGCCTAGCAGGTGGGAGACTCTGGGTTCCATCCCCAGCACCCCAAAAAGAAGAGGAA